GAGAAAAGCTCAGCGCCACTGCTCATAAACAAGTGCAAAACGAGGTAGAGGTCTTATCTGAAGTGAAAAGCAACAATGTCATATTCATGAACAACTGATTCTGATAAGTTTATGTCAATCACTTAGCGGCCACTTTTATGCAGAAGAAATGACCTTTATAAGTAACAGTAATATAAACAATCAAAATCAACTCAACATCTGTTTGACTTTTGAAAAATCAAAATTAACAGAATTATTGTCTGAGAATGACATCCTGAAAACAATATAGAAGAAGCAAAGTTGTCTCAATCAATAAAAATTGTTAAGACTACTTTTTAGATTAGCTAATAAGTTTCGGTAAAGCACTTTTGGATGAGTCAAAGGGCAATTAAATATTGTCTAATACTTGAAGTCATAGTATCGCACACATATTTTAATGATGGTAGGTTAACTTTGATCATGAGCTCTGATTAAATAAGCCTCAAAATAAGTTGATCTAACTTGCTACTTAAAAGTTTTAGGTTAACTTAATAACTAGGTAAAATACTCCATCTAGAGAAGAAAAAGTTAGAAAAATTGATTGAAATGCAATAAACTCTATTCTAAAAGGAGTAGTTAATGAGATTCATAGGTTTTCCCTAATGAATACCAAATTAATAGAGACATAAATAACTCGATGATCTTTTAATGATTCCATCTTTAAATCAAGAAGTTTAAGAGGATTAGTGACAAGCACTGATCATTGTGAATTATGAAGAAATCAAAATCTTGATACCCAAACAATGCTCAAAGTACTAGTACAAGACTCCTATTGTGTGTGTGTGATTCAATACCAACCTGGCATTTTTACTTGTAAATTGGAGATCATGATTGCTGATCATTTAATCTTTAAGCAAAACTCTTTCTTATTCATTGATGACGCAGTAATTGAAAATTCTTATTTGCTGATTGCTGAAGTAGTATTTAAAGTAACTACAGTATAAGAGAGAGCTATCCCCATCTAAATGCTTGGCAAGTTAGATCTAGTACTAGTAAATAGTAAAATTCGACCTCGATCAAGCAATCGTAGATTAAGGCACTCCTCCATTAATAATAGCGGGAGATACTGATCACAATAGAGCCTTCGTAAATAAGGGCTAATAGATGCAAACACTTTTCATTACCCTTTTATTATTCTAAAGAAAATGATAAGTAAACCTGACTTTGACTATAAAATTCAAATAAACCCATTTACCTTTTCATTACACAATGTTTTGAACAAGAAAGAGACACCACATAGTGATTTTTCCAGTAAAGATATTTTTGGAGGCAGATTCATCAAAGAATAGTTAATAGGTCTCAAATAACAAATATTCTCTAGAAGTAAGCCTTAGCTCGCAAATAATCTCATTTTACTGGATTTATTGAATAATTCTATAATAAGTCATTTATTAACCAGTACGCGTAAAGAAATCAGTCGCTCACTACCTAATAGAATGAAACGTTGGGCTGTCCGAGAAAAACAAAAAGAATTATATATTGAAAATGATTAAAATGAATAGACAACACCTGCACTCTTCTTTTAACGAGCAACTAGTTATAAGTGAATCAGCATTAATTTCGTAATAATTAAACTAAAACATTTTTTTCTTCTCAGTTAGATGTTAACCCCATGGCAGTGATTTATAAAGATATGCATTTTCGAAGTCTTTCCAGAATTTTTATATTTAAAAGTGGCAGAATCGTTTTTATC